GACAGTGTCAAAGGCCTTGCTGAAGTCCAGAAAGACTACATCCACTGCGACACCTGCATCCAATGCTTTTGTGACCTGATCGTAAAAGGCAATCAGGTTGGTCTGACATGACCTGCCCCTAATGAAACCGTGCTGGTTGCCCCTCAGCATCACCCCTGATGCCAGCCCATCACAAATGTGCTCCTTGATGATCTTCTCAAAGAGTTTCCCCAGGATTGAGGTAAGACTGACGGGCATATAGTTGCCCGGGTCCTCCCTCCTCCCTTTCTTAAAGATGGGGACCACATTGGCTATCTTCCAATCATCTGGCACCTGGCCCAAGCACCACGAGCGCTCGTAAAGCTGTGCCAAGGGCCCTGCAATACCCCCTGCTAGCTCCCTCAACACCCTGGGGTGGAGAGCATCTGGACCTGCTGACTTGAACACGTCCAGTCCCTCCAGAAGCACTCTAACCCAGTCCTCCTCAACCTTAGGTCTTGAGGCGTTCCCCTCGAGTCCGTCTTGAATCACGGTGGGGGAGTCCCGATCCCTGCCCAAGAAAACGGAGGTGAAGAATTTGTTAAAGATGTCTGCCTTCTCTTCTGGCGCGACCACCAGATATTCACAAATCATAGGCCTTAAGTGCGTATATGTAGCAGAGCATTTTCAATGGGATGCTATAAATGCAGATGAATACTTATGGATACAGATGTGGGTTTAAAGTAATGCAGCTCCACAAACTGTTTTGTTTTTCGTAAATCAGTGTTTCTGTGAAAAAAATAACGTAGTCAACAAATTCTGATTACCTCTACTTCTAAATATTAACTTTTTCAATGCTTTTTTTTTTCATTGAGACATCCTGTTTTGTCAAAGCCAAAACATTTTACAGGGACACATGGACTATGTTTCAACTTTAGTTGTTTTTTCTGATTTAGGACAGGCTTTGGGACCAAATTTTCAAATTTGGAACTCATAATTAGAGCAGTAGTTATTTAACTCCATTGCTTGACATGCCTCTTCCTGACTTTTTTAACTGCTTACTTTTGTATAGCACATATGGCCTATAATATTGCCATCACAAAGGTCTTACAATAAAGCGAGTTAAGACAAGCACTTAGTTTTCCAATCAGAAGTTCTGAGTTTACTTTTGTTTGAAATAAACCCCCAGTGTAAATATGTAGATAGAGAGTCCTTTATTTAATATAGGGTATCAGTTTGCTTCCCCTGGTCTCTAAACTTGGCACTTGTAAAATCTCCATTTGTGTCCACAAGTCTTGATAGGTAGATATCTGTCTGAGTACTTTGTGTGTATTTTCTGGAGTGTTTCTATTTGGGCTTCAGTTAGTTTAAAATCATTTCCTGTATGGTTACTATGTAGCCCTTTATGTCCTTGGATGCTTTCATGGGACTTCATACAATCATAGAATTATAGAAAATGAGAGTTGAAAGGGACCTCAGGAGGTTGTCTAGTCCAACCCATGGCTTGAAGCAAGACCATCCCCAACTAGATCAGTCCAGCCAAAGCTTTGTCTAGCCCGGTCTTAAAAACCTCCAAGGATGGAGATTGCACCACTCTCTGGGTAACCTGTTCCAGTGTTTTACTACCCTCGTAATGAGAGAGTTTTCCCTAATATCTAAGCTAAACTTCCCTTGCTGCAACTTGAGACCATTGATCTTTATTTTGTCAACTGCCATCACTGAGAACAGTCTATCTCCAGCTTCTTTTTTAACATCTTTCATGTAGTTGAAGGCTGCTATTAAATCCCCTTCCATTTTCTCTTCTCCAGACTAAATAAGCCCAGTTCCCTCAGCCTCTCCTCAGAAGTCATGTTCCCCAGCTCCCTAGCCCTCCGCTGATCTCTTTCCAATTTGTCTACACCCTTTCAGGGTAGGGGGCCCAAAACTGGACACAGTACTCCAGGGCTAGGGACAGACATTACACAATAAACCAGTTTAAGTGAGCAGAAACTGGCTAAACCTGTAACAGATGTTCAGTGCACATTAACCATTTTGAAAATGGCTGTAACGAGTTTGAGATAAACCTGGTTGAATGTAGTATCAGACTTAACTGATTTGTGTCAAACCATTATGCAATGTCTGTCCCAGACCCCTTGCTGGTTTAAGTTAATCGGACACCCCCAGTATCCTGGAATACTCTACGGGCTGGGTGGGGCTCTGTGCTCCACAGCAGTGCTGGCCCCCACCCCCCTTCTCCCTGGCTGCAGTTCTGTCAGAGACTTGCAGGCTGCTCTCCTTCTCCCCTGCCCCACTCCCTGCTAAGCAGGAATTCCCCCCTCCCGTCTGCCTTGCTGAGAGGTATCTGTGTATTAGCTAGCAGACCACATGCTGGCTATGGTCCATACTGTGGCAAAGGCAGAATGAACAGGTAGCTGGTAATGTCCCTCTGTTGTTTTCTTAACAGGGTGGTAAATACTGAGTTAGGGGCAATAAACAGTGTTATCAATTCCCTGCTGGGCTAATCAGAGCGTCCTGCGGGGCCTGGCCATGCCCCACCTCAGCTCAGTACTGTGGAATGGAAGGCAGGGCTGCTCTAGTGCCCCCAGCCTCTAACCTGAGCTGCTGCAGGCTTGTGCCTGCATTTCTAAAATGAAAAGGGAATGTCTATCCACCTCCAAATTGGTTCAAGCTTTGCAGATTAACATAACCTGCAAAGGTTGAATCATTGCAGGCTTAGGCTTTTTGAATGTCTGTCCCTAGCCTAGATGTGGCTTCACCAGGGCTGAATAGAGAAGAATAATCACTTTTCTCGATTTGCTGGCAATGTTCCTACTAATAAAACACGGTATGCTGTTAGCCTTTTTCACAACAAGGGCACATTGTTAGCTCATGTTCAGCTCACTGTCCACTGTAGCCCCCAGGTTCTTTTCTGCAGAACTTCTACTTAGCCAGTCCATCCCCAGCCTGTACTGGTACATGGGATTATTCCATCCTAAGTACAGGATTTTGCACTTCTCCTTATTGAACCTCATGAGATTTCTTTTAGTCCAATCCTCCAATTAGTCAAGGTGTCTGTGAATCCTAGTCCTGCCCTCCAGTATATCTACTACTACCCCCAGCTTGGGACTTAGTCAACTGTAGATAGCATATTGGGTAATCATAATTAATTATACATTTTGTACATGAATTTTTTCATGCAGTGACTGCTATTTTCACAGGTACAGTGGGAGTGCATAAATCCCAAGTATAAAGCAAAGAAGAAGAATTACAAGAATTCAGGCATTGTCATTCTTAACCAATGCAAGGTACTTATATTTGAAAGAATACTTGTTGTCTGATCCTATTCCCAGTTTTTAATAATGTATATTTAAAGAGTTATTGGAAATGGAGATGTCAAAAAATAGAAAGAAGTCAAACTGTGATACTAAAAATGATAACACTGAAAGGACAAAGGAAAACTGTTTTGGCTCTAACAAGTCTCTTTTTTAGGCATCATCATATTATAAAAATAGAGCAAAACCTGTCATAATAAGCTACCACTAAAGGAAACAGCAACAAATGAGTTGCCTAGGGGATGTCATCATTATGTAAAAATGGATCAAGGCTTTGTCAGAGATGCTTTAAAGTAGTTGCTTCAAGTGCACTTCTGCTTGTGGCATCTTCTTGCTCAACAGAAATGATCTTAGTATGTAGTCAGAGTGAAATTCCCCTACTAGAGTAACAGAAATAAATTGCACTGCTTTTCATTCCGGTTAGCACTGTGAAGTCACCACAGCTGGAGGAAGTCATCTGAATTCATCTCCTTGCACATCATCAGCACAATTGCTTACAAATTTCAGGTCTCCCTGGGGAAGTGCACAGAAGCCCACAGTAATGCACAGAAGTTACAGAGGATTTCATCTGAATATATGGCATTAACCAGGTGTAACTAGCATATGAATGTAATATTTATTACTGGTAATGATGAAGGAGAAATAAATAGCCCAACTTGAATCTAGGGCCAGGTACAGACGGTCAAAAAGCCTAAGGCTGAATTGATTTAAGTCTTTGCAGGTTAGTCTAAGCTGCATAGGTTAAACTGAAACAGAAGTGAACAGACATTTACCTTTGATTCAGGAAATGCAGCCACATGCCTGCAGTGGCTCAGGCCATAAACCAGGGGCCACTACAGTATGGCTCTCTGGCTTTGTGTTTACTTCCTTCTCCTGCTGCCCCCAAGGTCTCTGGGATTTGCAGTCCAGAATTACAGTAGTAGGATTCTACAGGGTTGCTCATCACTTCCTCTTCCTGCTTCCAGGGGCATCTGGGATTTGTAGTCCACAGTTGCAGCCAGCAGTAAGTTTGAGCAGGGGAAGAGGTGTTTAACCCCAAACCCCAACTGGGGTTTGCCTGGGGGGGTGGGGGGGAGGCATCCCCCCCCTCCCCCCCGCAGATTGGGCTGCATCCCCAGCTGGGCTTGCCCTCCAACCCCCCTTGTCAACCAGCCCTCACTGGTCCAGCTTGGGAGCAGAGGGGCAGGGCCAGCCCTCCTCTTTGGAGCAGACAGCCAATCCCAGCCCAGGGCTGCAAAATGCTGGGATGCTGGGGAACTGTGATTTAACTTGAACCAGGAAGGGGTCTGGGACAGAAGTTTCATAAACCGGTTTGACCCACATCAGTTAAGTCTGATACTACATTCAACCAGGTTTATCTTAAACCTGGTTCAACCATTTTGAAACTGGCTTATGTGCACTGAACTTCTGTTCTTTTATAGGTTTAGACCAGTTTCTGATCATTTAAGCTGATCTATGTGTAACTTCTGTCCCTAGCCTAGAAGACTGGGCTGTTTCTGCAGCTGGAAGCTGTAAAACTATATCTGTACCTGGAAATAAAGCACAGGAGATATGTAAATCATAACAGAAAATAAACAGTGAATTCTCTAATGCCTTATTTACAGATTCCCTTTATAGAGTAGTGCTGCCAATTGTGGCTTTATAAATAACGTGTATTTGACTTTTGACCTCAAAGGAAGGGTCCAACCACTTTGAGGGAAATTATGAAATTAAAAAATAGAGTTTAGATCCATAGAGGAATAAAATTCAAAATCTCCCATGGAATGGGAATTCCCAGCTTTCATTTTGAAAAATGATCAAAGTACCATTTGTTTTGACTTTGCCAAACAAAATTACTAAGCATCTCCAAGCAGTGAGGACACTGAGCAGCCCTGGTTCCAGGTTCCTTCACAAACAGGTCAGATTCTGCCAATCTGTCTTCTGGTCAGGACACCCAGGCTAGATACAAACATTCAAAAAGCCTAAGGTGGAATCTATGTGATTTTCTGTAAGCAGCATAGTTTAGATCAGTAGTGAACAGGACACATTCACCCTTTGTGATGGGGGGCAAATCTTAGACCAGGCTCTGCCATTTCTAAACTGGTCTATGAGTACTGAACTTCTGTTCTAGTACAGATGGATACAGATGGATTTTCACTTATGCCAGTAAATGTGTACTGTCTATATCCAGCCCCAAAGCTTCCCTGGCCACTAAGTTCCCTTCTCCCCAGCGTGGAAAATGGAAACTTTTAAAACCCTGGCAGAAGATGGCTTCTTCCAAATTCCTAACAATCTTAAATTCTGTTAGGCAGGAATCTGGGAAGATGCACAATGAGCAGGAAAGCAGTCTGCAAAGCCTGACTGATTTTTATTGGAAGATTTCACAAAATCAGCATGTTTCTACATAATATATCAACAGGTATTTTCCAATGGAAAGAGTTCCATCAGAAAATTTCCAGCTGTGCTCCTGATTTTTCTCATTTTCTCATGCCTGTCTGGGGGATAGATTATGACAACCAGATAATACTTGGTGGGCACATCTACACGTGACTCTATGTCGCTGTAGCAATGTGCTACATTACCATAGCAATGTGTTCCCTCATTATAGAATGCTGCTACAGCAACATAACAGCTAAAAATAACTGTGCATGGCCGGCACGGCACAATACGGGGTGTTACTGAGCCCGTCATTCAGGACTTCCAAAAGGAAGTCCTGAATGACGGCGCCGTAACAACAGCACCATATGGCCACGTGTAGACACGCCAAGTATCCTGCATTACTGAGCTATACTCTCAACCACAAATCTATAATGTCAATGTTTTTGTCTAGGAAGTTTGACGTGTTTCATTATCAGAGGTTGCAGACTTTAGGGCATGTTTCAGTGCATTTAACAACATCTTTGTAAAATAATTTGTGAAGAATTCATTTAAAAAACAAGGGTTTTGGGGAGCCAAGGAGAAATAAAGAGACAATGGAAACTGCAGGCTCATAGAGTGGCAGGTGTTTTCTGGTAATACCAGCATGCAATAAAATATGCAGTGCAATATGCTACTCATAAGAGTCACCCAGAAAGAACGTCTTTGTGTGTCCCTCCCTTTATTCATCCAAGTTTCTTCCTTTGAATACACAAAAAATGCCTGCTCCTTCTCCTCAAAGAAATCACAAAATTCTTCTTGACTTCTGTGAGGTGATTGATATTCTGTGTTGCCTTTGATGTGGGTACATACTTTAAGTAGTGTAAAAATAAATTTCAATGCTTTCTCTTCCTTCCTTTCTTATATGATAGTCTGTCTCCCCATCTCAGATCTCCATCCCTCCCCCACACTTTATTTTTCTTTAAACAAGCTGTTGCGGTCTGAATTTTTTTAGTGATACAAATGAGTACCTTTGCTTTCTTTTTTCCAGATCCACAAGATGCATTCTTTCTTAGATTACATCATGGGTGGATGCCAAATACAGTTTACAGTAAGTGTCTTTCTACTGCAATGCTTTGCAACACAACAAAGTCCTTTCAGACATGAAATTCATCACCTTCAAAGGAAAAAGAAAATCTGTCATGTTGTTTTGCAAATTTCTTGATAAATTATTAAGCTCTCTTTGCAAAATACATTGTGACTGGAAAGTGAACTCTATTAACACAGCAAGGTTTTCAAAAACATAATGTTTTTCTTTTATAGTGACAGGCGCACCATAACAACTGAAAACAGCATGATATGTACGGTCAGATCCTTAGCTGGTGTAAATCATGGTACTTCCATCTACTTCAGATGAGCTATGCTGGCTTACAAGGGCTGTCTGTAGTTGTATACAAGGCTCTAAACTGAGAATTTCACTTGATTGTTCAGAGCCTGACTCTAGAAAGCATGTAAGCCCATGCTGAAATCAGGTTTGAACCAAATCAAATTTTGGTTTGCTGAGCCAACCAGAATCTTTAACCTGAATTTTCCTGTAGTGCCACATTGCTTCATGGGAGTGCTAGTTTTGAGTATCTTGTGCCTCCTTCTGTCTAAAAGTCTGCCCAGAAAGCGCAGTCCATATCTCCCATGACCTAACATCATCTCCTCTCTGACTGCTGTACTGAAGGGCTGTGGAAGTTGATGTACCTGTGGAAGCTATGATTATGAGTGCACTATGAGAGTTACACTATAGTTTCCTGTGAAATTATCTAAAAATATTGCTGGTTAGCTCAACAAACCTTGCCCTGCCCCCTCTCAAATATTGTAGTTTAATGGTTGGAAATTTTTTTACCAGGGACCAAACAATACGTTCTTCTTTAATCTTGTTCTTATAATAATTTGACCATTTAAACTGAAATTAAAAAAAAAAATCAGCCTGAAACAGGGACCTAGAATGTAAGATTTCAGCCCATACTGCTAGATGTCTTATAATAGGAAGGAGTGGGCAGTCTTAAATATATAAGTGATGTTACCAACTCCTTTCATAATATATCAACAGATGCAGTTTCTAAGCCCCTACACATCAGAAGTCCATAAATACTAGCTCCCCTAAGGTTGGCCTGCTATCAAAGTAAAAAAAAAAAAAAATCCCGTATCGAACTGCTGCACACCCACCTACACTCAGCCAGTTCTAATTCCTTGACCTTTAGGTCCTTCCTCCTCCCACACACTTTCACTGAGGAACTGCTATAACAACAGGGCTGTACTAATTCTTATTCAGCACCACAAGTGAGAGTTGCTGGATTCCAATCAATAGGATTAATTTATACATATAACAAAGAAAGTGCCTAACAGTATTGGAATTTTCTGGGACAGCTTAAATTTTGATACTATGTCCCAGTGTCCCCAAGGACAGCCTGAAATGTTACTTTTATCCCAAGTTTGAAATATAGGTCATCAATTGGGGTTAGGCAGCATGTTGTTGAGTAGAGACAGAACAACACTGTCTGGTGCCAGATGCACACAGCTATGCTGCTTCCAGTTTGGAGATAGCTCTAGGCTTCCTCCAAAGTAGGAAGTAATATAGCCACATTTACGTGGCGCTGCTCCCAGCCTAATTTGGTTCCACCCACAGCTCTGCACTAAGGCAGCTACATTATCCACAGCTGGAAGTGGTACCAACAACTTCTGGTTCTGGAGGTCCATGGAGTTCAGGGCTATGTCCCCAAAGGTTGACTGCTTTCAAGACATTTCTCCTCACATGTAGCCAGAGTAAGTTGAAAGAAAGGGAGGATCTGATTTTCTTGACTTAAACAAGATGAACAGTAAACCTCTGTGACCTTTTCCTTAAATTTTCCTCACTGACACCCACTTCACCAGACCTGTGTACTCACCTTATGTAGCTTAGAGTTTTTAAATATACATACTACAGGCAGTCTTTTCTCCAACAGCATTTAAATATTAGAAGGCTGATCAAAGCAGCTCTTTTGTGCATGTATGAATACTGGATAATATAGTTGTACAGAAATGTTGATAGAAACATGAGATGAGAAGAGTATTATAAATGTGAAAAGGTCTTGAAAATATCTATTACTGTGTTATGGTGTTCCATTATTTCATGAGTTGTTGAATGTTTCTTCTGTTTTTTTTGTTCAGGTTAACATAGTCAACAGGTATTATTTGTCTCGATACCCAATACAATCCTTGTTATAATTTTTGTTGCATCAACATTTTAACAGAGTTCAACCTAGCTTCAGCATGTTCATGTGAAACGTTTGCAAACTGTATTTATGTGCACAAATATTTTAATTTACTCACAAAAATAATGTGTATTCCATACACGTGTGTAAATGGGTGCTGTATATGTACATTCTGACACTATCACTCTCAATTGCATGGTTGGGGTGGGGGGTCAAAACACCAGAAATATACCATACTGTTTCATTTTGGAATGTATACCAATAATTTATCTGTACTTAGTGCAGCCTTTTCAAATTACCCAGCAGCCTGCAGTTAAGTTGTTTACTGTTTGCATTCATTTCATAATCTACCAGTACTGCACTTGTCCAAGGCACTTTATTGAAATACTCTATGCCTAAAACAGCCATCCCCTGTAACCTAGATTTACAGTGCTAGAAATGAACACCTAGGACAGCATTTCTAGAATTCTTGAAAACTATTATGGAAAGTTACTATCAACATAGAAATGAGTTCCTATAAACCATGGCAATATTTTTCCTCTTTCCTCTTTTTCCTGAAGACACTTGCAGAGCTCACAAATTCATATCAAGTCATCCAACCCTCTTTTGTCTCAGAATTAATTATGTTTCCTTGAGTTCACACAGTGTATAGGCTGTACACTGCAGCTGTGATCTGAAAAAGCATCTGATGGGGGAGGGAAACTTGGATGCTAAGCATAGGGTTGAGAACAAAAAGCTATAGCATGGTGTACCTGCTAATTTAAAGCAGTAATGAGTGCTTTTGTAACCTCATGCTGTGAACTCTTGGGATACTTTGCACAGCCATTCTAGGCATATAGTTCTTTAGATCAAATACCTCAGAAAGCCAGAAGTAAACTTTTTTCCCCATAAAACTATTTGTTAAGAAGCTTTCTTCTATGACGTTGATAATCAATAGTGCAGAATCCACATGGTTCCTTCCAAGAGGCTCTTATTGCAGAATGCTGTGTTTGTTATCTGATAATGCTCCCTGCCATATGAAAAATGTTCAGAAGGAGTTAGCAAAGTTAATAGTTTTGTAATCAGAAGACATTGTCTTCACTTTAGGAGGTATAGCAGAAAGAATGTGAAGAATTTTAAGTAACAGGGCATACAGGTAGTTTGTGTGTCAAAAGGTTATGATAGTAGGAAAAACTGGTTATTTGTTGACAGATCTGATAGGAGCAAGCTTGAATATAATCTTTTACAGGGGCAGCGCTTGGGGGGCATATAGCCACCCCAAAATTCACCTTAGCCCCCTGTAGCCACCCTTCCCAGCCCTCCTGTCCAAACCCCGCTCCTCCTTTCTGGGCCATCTCTGCCCACCCTGCACAGTTGAACCCACCTTGCTCCAACCCACAGCCCGCAGAGGTGTAGTGCTCCCGGCCTGGCCAACTAAGTATGTTTGGCCGGAAGATGTTAGCACGGCCGCCAAATTCTCTGTCTAGCCCACCTCAGCCCTCCCACCAGGAAGAGGCTGGCACTGCCCCCAGTATGGAATACTCATATAGCACAGTGGGAAGCTATTGAAATGCAAATAGTTTGGACATTGAAAGAGATACAGGACAAAAGGACCTGCAGGGAGCAAACAAGGAAAGCCAAGGCTGTGACGAAACTCCAACTAGCTACAAGTATCAAGGACAATAAAAAGTCCTTTTTTAGATATGTGGGGAGCCGGAGGAAAAGCAAGGGCAATGTTGGATCCCTGCTAAACCATTTGGGACAACTGATAACCGATGCCCAGGAAAAAGCCAATTTGCTAAATGGATACTTTGCGTTGGTCTTTCCCCAGTCCCACAGGACGCCCCTGCCCATTATGGGACTGGGAGGCCTGGGTGAGGGAGATTCCTTACCCTCCATCAATTATGACCTTGTGAAGGAACACCTTGAGAGGCGGGATACCTTCAAGTCAGCCAGTCCTGACAGTTTACACCCCAGGGTACTCAAGGAGCTGGCAAGCATTATAGCTTAGCCCCTGGCACGGATCTTCGAGAACTCCTGGTGCTCTGGTAAAGTACCTGAAGATTGGAAGAAGGCCACTGTGGTGCCTATCTTCAAGAAAGGGAGGAAAGTGGATCCAGCAAACGTGAGGCCCATCAGCCTGACCTCTACCCCAAGGAAGGTCTTAGAAAAGATTATCAAAGAGGCCGTTCTTAATAGAAGAAAGGGAGGAAAGTGGATCCAGCAAACGTGAGGCCCATCAGCCTGACCTCTACCCCAAGGAAGGTCTTAGAAAAGATTATCAAAGAGGCCGTTCTTAATAGATTGGCCGATGGCAACAGCCTGAGGGATAGCTAGCATGGGTTTGTTGTGGGTAGGTCTTGCTTGACCAATCTCATTTCCTTTTACCTATTGTCACGACCCAGTGATTTTTTGTGCCTCAGCACTATGGAATTTCCTGGCCACATGAGAGCTCCTTTGCACGGTAGAGTGTTCTGCTGCAATTAAAAGCCTGCGTGCAGGAGAGTTCCCGCCAATTTGCAGTTTCCTTTGCAGGATGCATTTCTTCTTTGCAGCACAGAAATGCACGGTGCAGAGAGTTCCCGCTATTCGGATGCAAATTTGTGCCCCGCTATTGGCCAGTGCTAAATTATTCACACGTGGCAGCTAGTAATTGGCTCGCTGGCCGTTTAAAATTCCGAGCGACTTCCGCCCAAGTCGAAGAGCTTTGAGCACGCTGCAGAGTGCCTCTGAAGTTATCTGACTTGCGGCTG